AAAGGAATAATCCAGTACAATATAAAACAAAAACTTTCGCAAAAATTTAGGCACAACATTCAATAATCAAATAACTATTATCTAATAACTAGTTTTATCGCTTCCTTATATATTACTGTCCATCCTTCCCGCTTTACATGCACCTATTTCCGCGAAAAATTACTCATATGTGAAGCTACATATAAAACTAGGACTTTACAATTACGTGCGAGACATATTACCACCCGATAGAGTCGCACATACGACAAAAGAATCCTATTTTTACTGGCTCGTATTTATGAATTCACAATTGTATGAATCGTTAGATTGTGATCAACGTGGATTTCTTAATACGCTCTCGTTTGATATAAACGTGACATTTTAGTTACAAGCTTGGAGATGGCTGTCAAAATTCAGCGAAGTTTATGTGCATGTCAGTTAGAATGAAATGACATGTGAAAACATTTAGCAAGATTGAGGCATCAAATGCGATATTATTTTCTTATCCAATCTTTTTTTGTTTTTGTTATCACGTTATTATTATTGACAGTGGCGGAAATCTTGGTGGGGCGGGGGGGGCGCCCCCCCCCCCACCACACCTTCCGGAAAATTGACGAATTTTCGGAAATTTTGATCTAAAAGAGGGCTAAAAACAGTCTTTTCGAGTGCAAATGGGGGGTACGTCGGAAATTTCAAAGTTTTGTCGGAAATTTAGGAGGCTTTGCCCCCTCCCCCCCCCACACCGGAAAAAGTGAATTTCCGCCACTGATTATTGACTGTTGTAGCAATATTTATTGGCATGTAGTAAAACACTGACTATTGGAACACCGGAACACCACCATTTTGTTTGGGGTTAGGGTTTGGGGTTAGGGTTAGGATTGGGGGTTAGGGTTAGGATTGGGGGTTAGGGTTGGGGTTAGGGTTAGGATTGGGGGTTAGGGTTGGGGTTAGGGTTAGGTGGTGTTCCGGTGGTGTTCCGGCGGTGTTCCGGCGGTGTTCCGGTGTTCCGGTAGTCAGTGTTTTACTACATGCCATATTTATTGGAAAGTTTGTATTTCAGCCGTTGGTACTTGTTACGGAATGGCTATGTAAAGCTATATATATAGATTGTGTTAAACGTGGTTAAAAAATATATAATTATTTTGACTTTGTTTCTGATGACATTTGCCGACTCTCGACTTTTTACTCTCGATCGACTCTCGACTTTTTACTCTCGACTCTCGACTTTTTACTCTCGAC